TTAAGTATTTGCTATTGACTGTTCAAATGCGGAGTTTTGCGCATCGTGTGTGTGTGTGAGAGAGAGAGAGACAGCGTCACATCACAGTAGCGTCAGCTGTCTTAACCGCGGCTTGTGTACTGCATCATTACTGTGTCTGTTCCCCTTTCGGGCTTGAACTGATGGTAAAACTAATGACATTATTTACTGTCTTTACATTTATTTTGAAAGATGAAGCTCGCGATTATGGTAAGGGGCGTTACATTTCCGACGAGTGCTTGCGGTGTTCGGCCAATCACAATGCACTGGGTCAACTGGCCAATCAGAGCAGACTGCGCTTGTCAGAAGGAGGGACTTTGTAGAAAACGAAGCGTTTGAGAGAGGCGGGGCATAGAGGACCTACAATAATGTACAGTATTTGAAAAATAATGTGTTTTTTGAACATTAAAGCATGTCAACATATTCTGTTACACCAAATACACAAAATAATGATCTTTAAAAAAGCATCATATGACCCCTTTAAAATATGTTATCTAATCTCAGTACTGTTTGTAGCGGTCCAGATTTTGAAGCAAAATAAAGTTCGTCCATCTATCATAAAAAGTGTCCCACACCAGGGGGTGAATAAAGGCATTCTGAAGTGAATTAATGCATTTTTGTAAGAAAAAATATCCATATTTAAAACTTTATAAACTAGCTTCCGCTATAACTGCGGTACGCATGTACACAAGAGAGAGTGGTGTTCCAGCGGATCACGTAGGACATAGTGTAAGCTCCAGTGAGAATATGCTAGTCTCGCGAGAACCTAGATTTGTTTACAGCAAAGGAAAACCGAAAGAAAACCAAAGGTCTCCTCTTGGCTTATCTCGAAATCATCCGACATTTTTCTTTAAAAATCTTCGTTTTGCACTTTTAATTCGTGACCGGTGTTTTGTTTTGCTCTCTCCTCTGCGCTTCCGCATTCATCACTTCCGCGTTCGCCTACGTCATCCGCTGGAACGCCACTCTCTCGTGAACGCACGTACGACAGTTAACGTAAACTAGAGATTACAGTTTATAAAGTTTTAAATATGGATAATTTTCTTACACAAATGCAACACTTCATTTCAGAAGGTCTTTATTAACCCCCCGAGCCGTGTGGGACACTTTTTATGATGGATGGATGCACTTTATTGGACTTCTTTTGGACTATTGATGAAAAACACCCATTCACTGCCATTATAAAGCTTGGATGAGCCAGGACATTTTTTAATATAACTCTGATTGTTTTTGTCTGAAAGAAGAAAGTCATCTACACCTAAGATGGCTTGAGGGTGAGTAAATCATGGTCTAATTTTCATTTTGGGTGAACTATCCCTTTAACCAAATCTAACCAATTTCTGCCAAATAACCCAGAAATGGTTGTTTTTAACCTAGCATTTTTTTAGAGTGTTCGAAATAAGAAATTATATTTTGAATAAGTGATTAATGATAATTAAGGACATATGCTCCTCTCCATCGTTTTTAGTAGTGAAAAAGTAATTATAAAAAAATATTATTACTATAATGGATTTTTTTTTATTAAAATGATATACTACTAAAAACATATTAAAAATACTGCATTGTACAAATAACAGTATTGTACTTAATTCAATTAACACCGAATTGAACAGGATGATATTGCTAGAGTTACATTTTTTATTTACAGTAATAAGAATTCGAGGGGAAAAGCATGTCACAAAAATGTGGAATTATGACCCAGACATTTCTGATATATATTTACAATAAGTGTGTGAGATTAGGACTCACAGTGTACTATAAGGTTACTGGAGATCCTCTCTGGACCTTTTTGCGATGGATGCCAGACCAGACAGTCCAGCTTCTGCCCGTTCATGTTACGGAGAGGGTGGAGAGAAAACTGGATAGAGGCCACCTCACCATCTGAGCTACGGTTTTGACTCTGACCCGCGAGCTCCGTGTCCCAGGAGAGGCCTGCCATTGGCTTAGCCACCGAACGGCATACAGCGGCCGGACCGAATGACTGGCCCTCAACCAGGATGAACGGTTGCAGGGATGTAATGGGTTTAGCTGTGAAATGATAAATACATAATAAATGGTAATTAAAAACATAATAAATAGGATTTAATCTTTACAATTAAGTACTGACAGTACAAACAGTATTTTTTAAACAAAATTTTAGCAGGTATTTCACCAGTGTCTAATTTATGACATTTTCTAAAGTGTGAAATGGACTTCCCTGTCTGCTTTCCTGTTTCTAACAGTCTGCTTGAACACAACCATAAACAATACTTCTGAAGGAGAAAGCAGTAGCTATTATATGATCTTGTAATCGGAGCAACAATGAACACTTCCAGGTTAATACGTCCATCATCACTCCCATTGATGCAGACAATGCTTTTGTGTTATTCTGAGAACAATAACTGTATACATCAGAGCAGTGCTAGCTTTATGGTTAATGGGTTTTCTCTGTACATGTATGGGACGTTGAATGAAATGACAATGGTAATGTTTAAAAAAAAATCAAAGGCTTACGTTATCCTTGTCCTGTATCACTGAGGGCTAAATCCTTTATCGCTAACTGCTGCAAAGTCACTGCATATACATAAGACTCGAATAAACTCTGTTGATTTTAAACCTAATCACTACGAAGAAGCTAAGGGGACATGGTAATGGAAAAAAAATATGAGATGGGAGGAAAAATGACATTTCAACGCTTTTGCATTGTCTCATAAAATGTCACTTGAGGGAACAAAAAATTTGAGATTTTTAAATCTACCTATTTTTTTTTATTTACTAATTTTCTTTTTACATTGCAGCATTCCCACAAGAAACGTTACGTTCACTTGCTAAACGTTTGTGTTCACATTTGCTCGCAAAAGCACTGAAATATAGTTTTTCCACCCACCTCTTAATACTTTCATGACAAACGTTTTGGACGCAAAGTTTCTCGTGGGAACACAAAAGTTAAGAGACTGATGGTGTCGCAGCAGTCTGTGGGCAGGTGTTAGTCAGACAACCTTTTCCTGTTTAAGTTGGAAGTTCTTGACCAAAATCAGATACAATGTCAACCAGAGTTTGTGCTGAAAATCAAAAGTGCTTTATAGTGATCTTCCAATGTGCTAATACAGGGGTGGCCAATGTCGGTCCTGGAGAGCCACAGTCCTGAAGAGTTTTGCTCCAACCTTGATAAAAACTCACCTGCCTGTAGCTTTCTAGTAACCCTTAGACCTTAATTAGCTTGTTCGTTTGTGTTCGATTAGGGTTGGAGCTGAACTCTGCAGGACTGTGGCTCTCCAGGACCAAGGCTGGCCACCCCTGTGCTAATATATAAAATATGAACAGTCACACAGAGTTTTGTATGACAAAAGTTTGCCATCTTCTGTTTGCCCATGTAGCCCTGATTAATGTACTCACTCCACACTGTGACCAAAATCTCTGTCTCAAAGTTTCCAGTGGGGAAGGTGGCGACTTTGCAGATGTATTTGCCCTCATCTGCAGAACGTGTGCCCATAATAATCAGAGCAGAGTCTGTTATTGGGTCGCTGGTTGCAAACCGAACACGCCCCGAGTATGCAGGGTTTTCTGTGAGAGAGAAACAGAATGAAATGTGACATGTGACAGTAAGATTCGGTTTCTGACCATTTTTGTGAAACATGTAAAAAAAAAAAAAAAAAAAAAAAAAAAAAAAGGAATGCAAAAAAACAAAACTTGTAAATAAACATGAAGTTTGTTTCTCAAAGAAATGAAAATTAAGAAGAAATATTAAAGATTCTGCACTAATGGTTCCTGCATGAAAAATTCTTTTCATGTTTCTTTACAAAAGTGAACTGAAAAAAACCCCATCTGCTTAATGATTCATTGAAAATGAATGCAAGACGAGAAATGAAAGCAAGAACTGAATCAATTGTACAGTACAAGTATAGTTACACTATCAGATTCAAGGAAGAGACAAAAATCAGATTAAACCCTGCAGAATAACATATTTGAAATGACTCCGAGTTCCCTATAAAGGATATTGTTTGAAGTCCGCAATGTAAAAAATTTAAACATGAATTAAAAACATAAATTAAACATGAAATTTTGAAGTCAAAAAATCTTTTTTTTTTACAGTGTATATTACTTGAACCCCTGTTCACAGAGAGGTCTTTTAAAGCTTTTACTGTCATATTTTGAAATAAATACATTAACCAATGTACACATTGATGCATCATCATACCCATGGCGATAACAATGCAGAATGTGTTCATTTATTGGTAAAAGGGTGTTTTGGGAATGCAAGGTTTTCTTTGGTGATAACAATATTAGTAAAATGAAAGAACAATAACATTCTGAAAAATATGTAACAAATTATGTTTTGATATCTGTAAAGTAAAAGACAAAGAAAAAAGTTTGTTTTACCTGTCTGGCCTTCACTGAAATGAGCAGTGATAATCTGCTCTTCACCTCCATTTGAGTTTTCTCGAATCCACATCACCTGCACCACCTTAATCTCACTGTTGGATACATTGAATCGACAGGGTAAACGCGTTTCCTCCTCTGCCACAGACTGCAGAGCCCAGGGGGACTCAGAGGGCTCTTGAAATTGTTCTTGTTCTCCACTTACACAGGCTGCTGAAAGAAAGAGCAAAGAGAGAGAAAATGGTTTTAATCAAATAAAGTAATAAGCCACTCGAGATGCGTTTTTAATATGGTGGCAACAGCAATATGATAAAAGAAATAAATTCTATTGGATGAGCTGTGCTGGAAGTTGTTTGCAAAATCAGAAAGCACATCTTTTGAATTCTATATTAATGTGGAAACCATAAACAGTGGAATGATTGGTGGATTGGTAGTTATACTATGTGTATTTTATTTGTAATATTTTATATTATACATAATATTACAGTGCCTTGCGAAAGTATTCATTTTTTTCACGTTTTGTTATGTTGCTGCCTTATGTTAAACTGCTTTAAATTACTTTTTTTGTCACATCAATCTACACTCCATACACCATAATTGTAAAACAAAAACCAGAAATGATAAAAACTAAAATGATTCCATTGCATAAGTATTCCTACCCTTATCTGGGACAGTTGAAATTTAGCTCAGGAGCATTCAAATTGCTTGTAGATGTTACTACACTTCAAGTGAAGTTAAACTGTGGCAAATTCAATTGAATGGGTATGATTTGGAAAGGCACACGTCTTAATAAAAGAATAGCTGATAATGCATATTAGAGCAAAAATCAAGCACTGAGGCAAAAGAACTGCCTGTAGAGCTCAGAAGGTTTTGAAGAGCTCAGAAGCAGGTTTGCGTCAAGCAACACATCTGTGGAAGAGTTCAGAAAACAAATTCTGCTTCATTGAAGGGTCAAAGAAGCATGTAGTCTCTGTTACCCTTAATGGAAGAAGTTTGAAACAACCAGGACTCTTCCTAGAGCTGGCCTCCTGGCCAAAC